TGGAGGAAACTTGTTTGTTCAACCCTTGCCGTTCGGCAAGGGTGCCTTGAGCAAATTGTACCTCACCTTTTTTGAGCTCGTTCCAAGTCTTGAGCTGATACCGTCCGTTTTGTTGTATAACGTGGATAAATTTCAAGCCACATTCTCTGTTGTTGTTGCCGTTCGGCAAGGAGATTCGGAGGGTGTTTTGCTTCAATAAGAGATGTCGATGCGGAAGCAGAGCAGTTGGTGATGCCTGAGTAGGTGCCAACACGGAAGCGCCATGGGTGCCGTTTGGTATATTGGAACCCTTCGGAATCAGCAATGTCGTTCATGGTGCGACGAAGAACTAGCAAGATGAAAGGTCCTGGAGCTCGTGATTGGGCTAAACGGTATGAGACCTCTTCATTGTTGCATACTGATTTTACTAAACTTTGCAGATGATGCATTGTGAGGCATCAACACTTGTGCTGGCTTTCTCTTCATCCCATGTGTGGTTTGCTTCTCCCATATTTTCATCTTTTGAACCGTGTGTCATAGGTCCCACCTTTTATTGTAGAAGCTGGAATGTATTGGTAGTGAGAGTCTTAAGGCTGCTTTGTGATTGTTGTGATTCTTGTCGTCCGATAAGAACATGTGTGGTCTCTGATAGCCACCGATTTAAAGGTGGGTGTGTTGAGTATTTATTGGCATGGGTGCCGAACGGTAGCTTATGAAAAATAAGTAAGGTGGAGGTTTGGAAATATCAGTTGGCTTGAAGGATGAGGTGCCGAACGATACCGTGAGCCTTTGCATTGATGATGAGGTGCCTCCAGGGTGACTTGAATAATTACTCAGTCTGTGGGTGCCGAACGGCAGCTTTGGGTTCCACTAGTATTTAAGGGGAGCATGACGCAGGACGGTAGCTAGGTGCCTGCAGAGATACCTTCTGTTTCATATTTGCCAAATGGCCAGAAGCAATGTTTTATTGCCATCCCACTTCCAAGTGCATGTGCCTTTCTAGAGCCACGTTCGGAAGCTGGTCAAGTGGCATGGAGATGGTGATCTTTCAAAGCTCTTGGGTGCCTTGAGCAATATCCTTTATATGGGTGTGCCGTTTGGCTTGGCCATTGAAATTGTTCCAGGCTTTCCTATATGGCAAATAGGACAAAATAGCACTAAAATGAGAATGAATGAATGCTAGCCCACCGATTAAGCCACTTGAATAATATATGCAATCATTGAATTGCATGCTTACGAATATACTAAAATATAAGATAAGGCAATGTGATGTATCTCTTAGAAACAATGCATGTGGCTTTGCTTGATCCCAAGAATAACAAGTTCCTTCCATATTAAATAACTTATAAAAATAATGAATGTGCCACTTATCTGATGGAGGTTTCGGCAATAGTATCTTCGACATCTTGATGCCTTGGCGACTCAAGGTTGCCAAACTTTCTCTTCAAAGGGGGTGCCGAACGGCACTTTGAATTGAGATGGTGGTTTGGTCATGCAAGGCATGCACGCCATGCAAAATGGCATCCACATTCTGATTGGTTTTTCCTT